CCACATTTGTGTAATAAGAAAATGACAAGCATCCATTTAACTAGCATCTCCTTTAAGAAGTCTTTGACTTCTCCTGCAGGTACACAGAGTACTTGAAAGATAAGAGTCTAAAACTAATGACCTCCAGACTAATCTAGAAAATGAGTTGGGTTCTTCTAAAACTCTAGGAAAACCAGCTATGGTCCAGTGTTGAATGAAGTAAATTCTGCTTAGCTGCAAAATTTGAACCCAAGCTCCCTCATGGAGAGGGAAAAGATAAATCACACACATGATTACATCTTGATTTCATGCTTGTTGAATTAGGGACTGCAGAGATATGAGACAGTGGCTCAAGGTCAGAAAGTTAGTAACAGGAGGGTACATCCACCTCCATTCTTTTCATTTTAAACTTCTAGAAACTGAGCTGACAAGGTGGCTCAGCAGGTAAAGGCACTTGCTGTGCAAAGTTGAACCCATGGTTGAAGGACAGAACTAGCTCCTGAAAGCTGTCCTCTCACCTGTATAAGTGCACTGCGGGATCCATGCACTCCACTCCCAATAATAATAAAAATTTCTAGAAACTTATTCTTTCATTCTTTTTTTTTCTTTTTAAATAGTTTTTCCCTTTGGTTTTTTAATTTTTTAAGATGGGGTCTCCCTGTAGCCCCAGGAGGGCCTTGACCTCACAGAAGTTCACCTGCCTCTGCCTCCTGAGTGCTGGAACTAAAGACGAGCAGCCCTGAGCCCAGCTAGAAACTCCTTCTCTTTATTTATTTATTTATTTATTTATTTATTTATTTATTCATTTATTTATTGTCTTTTTGAGACAGGGTCTCCCTGTAGCCCCAGCTGGCCTGGAACTTGCTATGTAGACCAGGATGGCCTCAAACTCACAGAGATCCACCTGCCTCTACCCCCAGAGTCCTGGGTTTAAAGGTTTTCACCACCATGCCCAGTCATATTTTGTTTTAAAAATTTCAAAATTATAGAAAAGCTTCAAAAACTGTACAATGACCCATTGCCCATTCCTCCCCATTTGTTTCATTCTCTCTCTCTCATAGTCTTCCTGTCTGTGCACCCCTATCTTGTCTATATATCTTGACAAATATTTTGGTTACAATATTTGAAAATCATTTGAAGACACTTTAATACTTCCTCCTTAACATGTTGCTCCAAGTTTAAGGGCATCCTCCGACATAATCACTATATAGCTATATTTACAAATTTTGATACTACAGATAATGTAGAGTAAGGTTCCTTGGCTCAAAATCTAAAGTATTCAAAAATTCCAGACTTTTATTTATTTTTAGTTTTTATGTGTTTTATGTGTATGTAAGTGTTCCCATGCATACAATGCCCATGGAGGCCAGAAGACGGCATTGGATTCCCTGGAACTGGAATTACACGTGGTTGTTAGCCATCATGTGTGTGTTGGGAATTGAACCACAGTCGTCTGCCAGAGCAGTCAGTGCTCTTTAACTGTTGAGCCATCTCATCTCTCAGCCGGAGACCCAAATTCCAGTCTTTTAGGGCACCAATGTGATCTTTTAAATCTTTCAGATCTTAGAGCATTTAGGGTTTCAGAATTTTCTGTGTGGAGATGCTCAACTATGCAAATAGTCCAAAGCTGGAAAACAAATAAGCAAACCACCCCACCCCATAATCTGGAACACTTCTGGTTGCAAGCATTTTGGGCAAGGGAAACTCAGTTCATACTATTATCTAATAAGGCCCAAGTCCAAATTTCTCCAGTTGTCCCAAAATAGCTGTTTCTTGCTGTAATCCAGGAACAGTGAAGGACTGCCTATAGCATCTAGATGCAGTCACATACTGCATTTATTCTGTCATAATGTAGAACAGTTTGCCAGCCTTTTTTTGTGTGTGCTGGGGTTTATAACCCAGGGCCTTGCACATGCTAAGTATGCACTCTACCACTCTACCATATTAACATTTTTGAAGCATCTAAAAGAACTTGCTTCAAAATGTTAAAATGTAAAACAGGCTTGTACCTTGCTAAGTACACAGGCTTTGCCTCTGGATTTCACTCTGGGCTTCTGAATCTACAACAGAAGTTAAGCACAAAGCCAGCACATACTAGTAGTCTTGGAATTGTATTCAAAGGCTTCTCCATCAAATCCTTCTGATTATAGTTGAAGAAACTGAAACCCCGAAGAGTTTGGAAACTGACAGTGAGGTTTTAATTGGAAGTGTGACGTCCTCTTTCCCAGTGACCTTTCTTCCTAGTATCCTGTCTCACGAACCATGTTCTGTTGTTCTGAAGAAAAGAAATATTCATACCACTTCATACTCTGAGTACATGTTTAAAACATTACTGTTATGTATGTCCAAGTTTAAATGTTAAAAAGTCTCATGTGGCATTACTTATAAACTGTCATTCTTTCTCTCTTACTGCTTGAGGAACTAGTTCACACACCACAGATACAAACCAGGTAAAACAGAGAAAGTGTGACAAACCCATTTCAGGTAGTTAGAGGTGGGACTTTTCAGTGATCCTGAGTTTCCCACACTCCTACATATAATTAATCCTTCACGCATATATTCCTATACGTAAACTCAATAAACTCATTTATTGACGGACCACCATTGATGGTTCACCAAGATGGACCTGGATGGTATGATGGATAATAATTCTGGTTGTCAACTTGATAAGACTAAGAAATGTTTAAGGCATTAGTGAAGACACTTTTGGGTGTGTTTGTGAAGAGGTTTCCAGAGAGGATTAGCCAGAGATTAGCCTGAAGTGGGTGTCACCATACAACCTAGGGTCCTAGATTTAATAAAGGGGGGAGGAGAAAAGTCAATGAACACCAGCATTCATCTCTTTCTACTTCTTAATCTTCCCAGATGGGCAAGCAGCCATGCGCTACTGCTGTCTTGCCTTCCCCTAGAATGGACTGCACCCTTCTCAAATTAAGTCAAAGCAAATGATCCTAAATTACTTCCTGTCAGGTATTCGTCACAGCAATGAAACAAAGGGACCCTTTTATTAGTTTATAGGTACCCACTCTACCTAGACTGATACATACTTCTTCATGTCTCCCAAAGAAGTCTTGCTGCAATTTCAAAATATCAAAAGTAGCTATTTTAGCTGGGCGTGGTAGCACATGCCTTAAATCCCAGCACCTGGGAGGCAAAGGCAGGCAGATCTCTGTGAGACTGAGGCCAGCCTGTTTACATAGTGCTGAGTTTTGGGTCAGCTGGGGCTATACAGAGAGACCCTGTCTCAAATGACCAAAAAAAAAAAAAAAAAAAAGACTAGCTATGTTATCTTTCTTTTCTTCTTCAGCTGATGGTGGTATTAAAGACTTTGTCCCTTACAATTTTAAAAAAAATTTTCAGAATTCTACAATGAACACTTTCATAAAAATAAACATATTTTTTTCTAAAATCATAAGATAGGGGCTGGAGAGATGGCTCAGCAGTTAAGAGCACTGGCTGTTCTTGCAGAAGGTCTGAGTTCGAATCCCAGCACTGACATGGCAGCTAACAACTGTCCATAACTCCATTTCCAGGGGATCTGACACCCTCTTCCTACTTGGGCATTGCATGACATGTTTGTACCTACATACATGCAGGCAATACATGTAGACACACAAAATAAAAATAAGATATTAAAAAATCATAAGACACTACTTTACTTATGATGGTTTATATGCTAAAGTTCAATTTTCTTTAAATTACATTAGGAAGGCAGCATCATGTTAGAATACAATATAGTCTCTCAACAAAATAAATCTAACATGATCAGTTTTTCTTCTATTTTCAAAGCTGCTGTTTCTTCATTTTGGTAGCAGATGCGGTACTTAACAGTCATGTTGTATAAAAAAAATCCATACCTCTAACCTCAGAACCACAAATACTACAGCATGATGCCTGTGCCTTAAGCAGGGAACTGAACAATAGCTGATGCATAATTCTACCTGCACACTTAGTGAAGATGTGTTAATGGTGGATGAAACTGGTCCAAACAGTCAAGTCATTAGTTCTTTCTCTACTTTTTCTATGCTAAGTATACACAAACAAATTTACAGTTATGAATTAAACATATGTATCATGCAACTCTGTGGCAAACACAAATGTAACTGAACTCTGGCAACACTGGCAATGCACCTGCAACTGACAGCAAGAAATCGGGAGTTCTTCAGGCTGGGGATGTGGCTTAGCTGCAAGAGTGTTGCCTAGCATACATGAAGCCCTAGGGTTGATCCCCAGCACCACATAACCTAGGCATGGGTGTATGCCTCTAATCCCAGCATGGAAGAGACTGATGGAGGAGGATTAGAAGTTCAAGGTCATCCTTGGCCACACAGCAAGTTCAAGGCCTGTCTGGGATACATGGGACCATGTCAGCAAAATTTACTAAGCTAAAAGACAGTAAATATAAAAAGAAACACATGAACAATAGAATTATAAAATTTCTTCAATTGAAATAAATTTAGGATGTTTTTGAAATCACCTTACACTTCACTTGAGGACCATCTTTAGTTTTCAAGTCCCTGTCTCTGTGCAAATAGCTATAAGAAAATCTGACAGTCACTCCTCTCCTGTTCTCACTTTTTTTTTTTTTGGTCTTTTTGAGACAGGGTCTCCCTGTAGCTCCAGCTGTCCTGGAACACACTACATAGACCAGGCTGGCTTTGAACTCACAGAGATCCCCCTGCCTCTGCCCCCCGAGTGCTGGGATTAAAGGCATGCGCCACCATGCCTGGCTAATTTTCAGAATCTTAAAAAGGAAAATGGAGCTTGAGAGATGGCTCAGTGGTTAAGAGCACTGGCTGCCTATATGGTGGCTAACAACTGTCTCTAACTCCAGTTCCAGGGGATCCGACCCCCTTTTCCGACCTCTGCCAGAACTGCACAACACAGGTGCACTTACATACACGCAGGCAATACACTCATAAACATAAAATAAACATAATAAAATATTTTTAATGGAAAATAGTACCAATGAGTTTACTTTTTATGTGACACATTGTATAATATGAAAGGGAAGTCCACACCTGCATTGGCCCAGGGATACAAGACAAAACTCTCTCTATGTTTTCAGAAGTCACATCTACATCATTGACAGCAACAAGGACATCACCTAAAACAGAACAAAAGATAAGTATGTGAATATCCCAAATCCAAAAGTTCTAGAATTGCAATAGTAAAAAACAGCTATCCTGACTTCCTCAAGAGTATAATGGAAAATGTGGTACATTCAAGGACTTGTCCAAGGTTACACAGTCATTAGTGACACTGCTAATTGCCCAACTGTCTATAATGCTGTTCAACACTGCACCCTAACTCACTATGGTCCATGAATATTTAAAGAGATAAATATTCCTGTCCTTGTAATAACTAGGAGAGTTATGCAAACTCAATGGACAAATGGAAAAATTTTACAAAACCAAGAATTGCACTTAACAAAATTGAATCTAACCACTCAGACCCAAAATTAAAAAACAAAATCCAGCTGAAATTCTAATTAAATCCACGTGGTACATTGGAACCCAACAGGCTGTTGTGTTTGCTATTACTGATTTGTGTCTACCCAGTAGGCCTTTGATTCATAGCTTCCAATAATATTAAAACACACAGTGAAATCTTCCAGAACACGGACAGGCTGAAAGAATACATGACCACAACAAACCCTTTAAAGAATACTTGAAGCAATACAAAGAATGGAGAAATGAACAACTATACCCCAGAGGAAACAGAAAGAAAATATATGAAGGTATAATTTTGGATTATACCAAAAAATTAGACGAAGAACGCAAACAGTAATCAAAATGACAACCAATATACATCTTTCAATAACTTTAAATATCAATGGACTGAACTCTCCAGTCAAAAGATGTCACACCATCTCCAATGAAGCCCGCGTGAGATCCTCCGTGGGTTGAGGCTGGAACTTCAAGGAAGGTTGCCTCTTGGAATTGGTTGTACTGAGAAACATGCAGTGTACTTGGCATGCTTTACTTGCGATTATTTTTCTAACTGTCACTGTATCTTGGGCTTTCTGGGGGCCCGAAAAGATCAATAACTTTAAATATCAATGGACTGAACTCTCCAGTCAAAAGATGTCACACCATCTCCAATGAAGCCCGCGTGAGATCCTCCGTGGGTTGAGGCTGGAACTTCAAGGAAGGTTGCCTCTTGGAATTGGTTGTACTGAGAAACATGCAGTGTACTTGGCATGCTTTACTTGCGATTATTTTTCTAACTGTCACTGTATCTTGGGCTTTCTGGGGGCCCGGAAAGCACCTGGTGTCCTTGGCACCGCTATCACCGCCTTTATTGAAAATCCTGTAATCATCCTAGTCCAGATGCACCACTATTAGTAAAAGTTATTTTAGATGCAGCAAGAAGTAGTTAAATAGAATTAATGCTGGAAAGTCTAGGGAATAACGGATTTCTAGAAGAGAGACATAGATAGAAGAAGGGTTTCTGGGTATTCATTACAACTTATGGATAAATTGGTAACATCAAGACCACCTTGGTGTCTTTTGATAAACAATCAAAAGAGAGCATTAAAGGGCAAATATAGAAAGTATTTGAAAATTGGTAGGATAAGAGAGAAGGATGGTTTCATGGATCCCTAACATGGGATAGCCTTTTT